GGCAGCATTGTCAGGGGGCGGACCGTAACTTTCAGGGGCGAGAAGTCAGGGATGTCTTGCTTGCTGAGGATAGTTGAACTTTTCGCAGAAAGCTTCTGTGAGACACTTCTCTTTTTGGAGCCGAAGGTAATACGAGACCAAGTGCTGCTTTTGTTGCGCTTGTTTTTATCAAATTTCTGCTGGGCACTAGTTCTTGGTTTTCTAGTTGCAAGAGCAATTTGCCCGTGCCATTTGGTAGCAATGTCTGTTGTACGGAAGAGGAGACCACAAATGCGGTCACCTGCCTTGATCTTAGTATCATCGATATAGTGAAGGCCAACAGCATTATTGTAACACAAAGGTCTGCGTTTGGGTCCCTCACATTCCAACACATAAAAGTGCTCCGAAGGCTGCTGTTCTCCGCTCAATAGGTCATACCCTTGGTGAATAACTAGGGAAACGCATTGCCATGATTTGCCTCCTGCGAAGAAAAACCCTTGCCCAAGAACTTCTGATAGTGACATGCTTGGGGCTGTTGTTTCCTGGGATATTGGAGCCAGACGAGTCTGCAGGATGCAGTTGTTTCAATAGTCCAATCATTTGAATAGGCACATTCCTGACAGTTGGGAGGTCCATCATCCGCCGTAGGGATAAGGAGCTGCTCAGTCCAGGGAAAGGAGGCACCAAAAAATTCATGACCTTGTGCTGTTGGTGAGAGACAACTGGATATAATAAAGGTGGCCACCTCATGGACAGAGCATTTGCCACACTTGCGACAAGAGAAAGAGACCTTTGCGCTGGCTTTTTCATGAAACAGTGGAGGGATTGTTGCAACAATGGTGTCATACGTGAGCTTAAAGTCACCATGAATATGTATAGGCAGTGTGGACATGGCAAGCGCAAGATGGAAATGGTTGAAAAGCTGTTGTCCATCCATGCGCGACAGCAATTAGAGCTTGATGGCCAATATGATTATCAAACTTTATGCGCTCTTGCCAGTTGGCCTTTGAAAGAATCCGCAGGGCAGTGGTGTAAAAACACGCAGTAGAGTTAAGGTTATCATATAGCTTGGCTGCATTTTGATAATCAAGCTCTTCAAAGGCCATCATAGCGAGAGACGTGCTGTTGGCAACTAATTGCTTGAGAGCGTGCATATGCGCAAGCTGTCGCTGTTCTGCAATGCTGCGAGTAGGAATATTGTCAGTACGCGGTTCAGTTAACTCATGCCTTGTCTGAGCAGAGCTCAGTTGCAGTCGTGGTTGATTCTTTGCTTATGGTACCAGTCTCATTGGTAGTGTTTGTAGTGCTTGTAGCATTCACAATAGCATTCGGAGTGGCATTGGGTTGGTCAAGAGAAGATATGCCAGAGGGTATTTTGACCTCATTTCCATAACCCCCTGCTACATCCTTGCGACAAGAAATCTCAGTGACATCATGCTGTAAGGTTACAGCTGGGGACACAAGAGCATCTTTCAATAGGTGTTCTGCTTGCTGATCAGCTTGCTGAACAGCCTGCTGATGTATAGCGGTGGGACACCTGGTAAGCTGGTTGTCAATTTCTTCAATGAGCTTCCATTCGGACCTTGAGGTCAAGCAATGCGGCGCCATACCGCGCCAGGCAGCCCCCAGAGTCTCCAAGCTCACTGGTATTATTCTGTAACCCGTGACAATATGGAAGCTAGAGTAGGTCTCGGGAGAGATAACCCCTCTTGTATGGCTTTTTCTTCAACTGGCACACAACACCACGTGGCCTGCCAAAAATTGCCAATGTGGTATCTTGTGGCCGAGCCAGTCACTGGCAAAACCCAGACGGAGCGTTTATGGTTAGTTTTGTTTTGATTGGGTCGTTGTTGGGGCGGTCCAAGTGGGGACAATTTTTGTTGGAAGAAGAGTTTTGGTTTGTTGTTGTTGTTGTTGTTGCTATTCTCCACATGTCTATGCATTCCACACAGCACTCTCTACCAGACTGAGAGTTGATTTGACTAGCTGCGGCGCGGTGTATTGGTCCCAAGTGAACATGTGTGCGCGCGCATATTTTCTCCTAGAGCTACAAACAGCTAACTTAGTACTTGTTAGCCTCTGTTACCCTATATAGCTCCAGTGATTGTCTTTCAGCAGTCGAAGCAGCCATGCGCACAGGACTTCCCCTATCAGCGTGAAACACAGTTGGAGGGCACGGCCACTGGAGTTTCGGAGGTGACACCCACACACTTTTCAGGTCGTCATGTTGGCGCATGTGGTCTTGGAACCTGCCAGGTGGATTCCGCTGCGTGCTTTGCGCTTGCTGACTAACTCCAGGTTCTGACGCGTTTGCGCGCTTGTGCTGACTTGTTTGGGCAGGCACCTGGCACGCTTACAGTGATGCGACAGGTTGAATTCATGGTGAGGCTCAACTGCGTACGACAGCGGGTTTGAAATGCCACGGTGGGAATCACTCGAAATAGAATAATTCTCCCTCCCTCACTTCCAATGCGCTTGGTGCAGTCTTCGACGCCCGGTGCGCATAGTTCCGTCCAGCGGAGACTTTAAAAGGGGCAAGCTCATGGGACAAGGCTGCAGCCACAATCACATTCGTTAGATTTATTGGCTGTGGGCAAACAAGGTTCTGAGGTCAGCCGTGGGGCACGTGAGCTCAGAAACTTGCTTGAGAAGAGCTCTGGCCCTGGCCTCCAGTTCGGTTTCAAGCATGCTTTGCTTAGCGCACAGGGCGCATTTCCTTTTGTTTCCTGTTGGTGAACTGCCGGGCCCGAAAATTCGCCAACCTCAACGCATGCACTGCCATAATAAAGCTCATGAAGACGATGTTCAACGTCAGTAAATCTTACGAATCCAACTGAATCTTTACACATCCTTTGTCTCTCTCTCTCTGTTTTTTCTCGGTTCTTGCGGGTCTGCGATGCCCCCGAACTGCCCAGCATCACTAGCACTCCGGGAGACCAAAGCCAGGTATGTCTTATACCTGGCCAAACCCCACAAGACTACAAGCGCGGCGTCCGGCTCAGGAATCTGAGCTCGCCGGGCCAAAACGAAGTGGCAGCTGCCCAGTATAGCTTTGCTACAGGCTCAAGCCACCCAGCGCTGACGTCTGCCGTCCTCAAGCTTCGACAAACCAGCTCCCACGCCACGTCAAGCTGTGGCTACGATGCAACCTGCCACGGGGCTGGACGGGCTGGAGATACGGCCACGCGAACTCAATGCTGAGATGATGCCCGGCAGCAGGCGCATACGAAGCACATGTTTCAGGCTTCCATCGTACCAAATGTAGTATCGTCTCGACACTCTGCAGGCAGAGCTTGAATCGTTTGGGTAGCCCGAGCTTGAAAGGTCACAAATCTATCTTGCTGCGCAGCGTGGTTTGCTCTGGAATAAAGATGATGTCCTCACCATTGAGGATTCTTGCCTCATCATCAAAAGGCCACTTTCCACCCCAACAAACAACACCGGCGTGTAAATTTGCTTCCTTCTCCCCCTTCAAGAAGTCAGGGGTCCCACAAACAGCAGGTCCAGGAAAACCTGGCCGCTCTGTTCTCCTCAATGGCAGTGCCTTCCCTAATACTGGCGAATCGTCAGTCTCGGACGCTTCAACCTGGCCAAAGGCTGCCCACTTGCCATCATCATCCGTTGCACAAGTCACTAACGAAAGTGAAGCAAATCACACCCCCAGACCGATCACGCGACTGCCACTTTGCAAATTAATTGTCAACAAAAAGGCAGTGCCCATGACATGGTGCATATGGCTGCACGGCTGAGCACCAATGATCATGCGGCCACACTTGCAATGCATCCCAATCATTGCCAAACCATCATCACTCATCCACACACAATCAACAGTTGATTGCAAGTGTCATCTCTTCTGATAGTCACTGATTCTCACCAGGCTATCAGCAACAGCTGCTCCCCCGCCAGCCGGGGTACCCAGACCACGGGGTCTCTACATCCTTCTTGAGCCTCTTCAGCATGATTTCTGCCAGGCGGCGCTCCGGATCTTTTTGCGGATCTGTGGTGACCACAACACCAGCCTGCGCAATGGCCTTCAAGACATGATCTGTACCATCATGGTCCATGTCCGGAGGGCGTGCATAATAGGAACTTCGATTGAGCAGTGAGCTGTTGCTGCTCTTTGTCTATAGTAGCCTCCTGCACTGCTTTCAATTCATCCAACATCAGCTTGTAGGTCTCCTTGCCCACGTCAACCTTCTTTTGCGGTCCTGCCTTTTTGTTAGACAATTGGTCCCAGCCGCTTGCTTGACTTCCTTCAGCAGTGATGCCAAGTGAGCCATCAACACTTCTTCCAGAGGTTGCAATTCGAGTGTAGTCAGTTCCAACCGCGCGAAAGGTCCACCATTCACGGAACTCCAATTCTTGTGAAGAAGTTGGTCCACGCCCGGGAGCTTGGGGACTTTGCGCTTGCATCCGTTTCCACCAGCTCTTGGAGGAAGTTCAACTCTGGCTCTACGTTCTTCCTTGGGCCTCCGGCTGTCCAATGGCGCCTGGCCAAGCCTTGCCACAATGTTCACAACACCATCAAGGAGTGGGGGAGATTCGGTCCGGCCAGGCCATTCTGAAAGGCCCACGACAGGGACACCATGGCCACGAAAGAACTCTTCAAGGGCCAAAAGGAGATTTGCCTCTATCACTAGCAAAGGTGAAGGCACCCAGGAGGAACACCGGGATGTAGAGATGTCCTTAAAGATCGCAGAGGAACGGGAGTAGCCGCCGGAGGGAAAGTGGCAACCGTTCCGCGGCTTGAGCCAAAAGCAGGTGAGTTAAGGGTGAACATGTTCTGAACACACCCTACATCCAAACTATTTCGTTGGCGCTCTACTATAAAGCTATAAACATCTATAAACTATGACAAGACAATACAAAAAAATAGTACTCTTCACACAAACTTTGGAAGCCGCTGTTGCACAAACAACTATGAAAGAGAACTCATGCGTCTCGGATTTGATTTCACTTAAAACCAAACAGGAGGTTCTTCAGGCGAGGCCCGTGCTTGCTTGTACGTTGTTCTCACTGGCCTCCAAGTGCCACTTTGCAGGTGATTGTCACTGCGGCTCTGCCCTGGGAAGACGACAAACTTAGGAGAGGAGTTCCAGAGACGCCTCCCGTGTCTGGATCCAGTCGGAAAGCCACTTCGCCTCCCAGGATGACCTCCCCACTAACTCGAGACCACGTCATGCTCTTTCCTTGATCGTCTCGGCAATCCACATCCAAAATGCTTGGAGGGATTGACTCGGACACGATGATGGTCTCTCCTGTCGAAATGTTTTGGACCACAGGAAGTTGCAAACTGTGTCCAGAACGATTGTACCACTGCAAGCCAGGTCCTGAAAAAAACGTGGGACAGCTGAAATGTAAGGCTACACATGGTTACATCATGTTCCTTACTTTGACATGTGACAAGTTAGATGCAACTGCAAGTGACATTGACTGTACAGTAAATCCTGACTCAGGTGTGGTCCTAAGTCTTCTAGTAGAAGCACTTCTGAAATGTCCGCAGCAATACGGGCCACGACTTTCGGCATCTCCCACACCGCTCCCTTCCAAAGGCGCGCTTGTGACACCAAAAATTGGGTTGATACTGATTTGGATCCCAGTTTTGCCAACACCTGGCAGCTGCACGAGGGCATTCCAGACAACGTGGTCACTCCAGACGTCAAATCTTCAGGGAACCCTGTCTGGCTCTCGTTTGTGGTGGGATTCCACTGAAGCTTCCCTGTGTTTGTGATCAAGAGCCATGGGCACGTAGGGTCGCACTGAAGCTGGAAATCCTTCAGCTTGGTCAGGTCCTTAGACTGAGGAGAGATTGTCTTGTCCGATGGCCTGTCGTCCAGGCCCCAAAACTTGAAGTACATCACCTGTTCGCCGTAGGAGAATGCGAAGACCGGCAGTGACAGATCGAAGCTGGTCACAATCCCTCGTACTGGATCTTGTATTGAAACTGTGGAGCATTTGATCACTGTTTGATTCTTAACAGTGACTACGCCTGAGACACGACCATCATTCGCGAGCTGAAGGCCGGATGATGCAAGTGCGCATCCTGGTACCACCTCCTGGGCTTCAGCTATGGGGTCTGCTGTCTCATCGATGCTTTGCCCAAAGTACAAGGACTTGCTTTGCAAAGGCATGTGCACAGGAGTGGGAAAAATGTTCCCTCCTCCACATGCGCAACATGCTTCACTCGGCCGCACTCCCTGAAAGGCCGCATCTTCATCCTCCTTGGGCCAAGTCCCTGAACAAATGCCGAGTTGTTGCAAGTCTCCGCAGGTTCGACCTTGCATGTCGTGCCAATTGGGAACGTCATCACACATGAAACACTTCGAGGTGTTCACGATGGGTATGGTTTGCATAACGTATCCAGCAGCGCATTCATCGCAAAGGCCATCCTTGATAACCCGGCAACCCCCACACTGCTGGCCTGCATCGCAGCAAGCAAATTCGTAGGTGTCAGCGACAAAGTTTCCGATCAAGACTTGCCCATGCGAACAGGTTGGAATCTTCGTCAAGTCCTCAAGCTCAGACCTGACCTGCATCTGCAGAATTTTCTTCGGCATGGGTGGCGGTTTAGGGCATTGTCTAAACCCCACACCAGGTGTGGCCCACAAGCCTTGCACAGCTTTCACCACATTCTGTTTTGACCCCAATTTGAGAAAGTGTCCATCCCACGTGTCTTGTGCAAACGGTGGGACATCACGGAGATCTAGCAGGTCAGACCTTTGGGCTCCTCGATCCAAGCCCATCGAACTGAATCGAGGGAATTTCTGCAAACTGCAGACAGCGTCGTCTGCAGCCACCCTACCCCAGATGGTCAGCAAAAACAACCATAAAATCATGGCAGAATCCAATCACCCTGACCACCTCTAATCAACAAAAACTGCAGAATTTCCGACAAGCGTTTTGCACACCTCACGGGTATACAGTTACATACATTGATGCTTATGTTGCCTGCCAACACTGTACTGCGACAGTTGGATAAGCCATGAAAGGAGTAAAACTATCAAGCCAGAACCAAAGAACCTGCTTGAAAAACATTTTTGGCAGCTGCTTCGGCAGGAACCCTTTGTAGGCACATCGTCAGAGAATTGAAACCTCAAACTCATCCGTGCGTAAATTCCAGCTCCACGATGTGAAGAATCGATGGAATATCCACTTGCTACGACTTGCTCTCTGTACACATGAATTCATTCTTTGCTTTGATGTTCAGACTCTAAAAGGCTTTGATTTTGTCCATGCAGCATGGCTGCTGGACTATGGGAGATAGCCAGAAGCTACATTTGCCCCAGCCCGCAGCGGACTGTCTCCCAAAGGAGGCCCACCTGCTGGTGGTATTCCCGGCCTTGGGTTTGGCTTCAAACAATCTCCAGCATTCTACTTATCATGGACTTAAACCAAGAGCTGTCAATCAATATGAAACTAGACGACGAGTGGCCCGAAAGCATTTATCATCACGTAGGAAGTCAGAGTGTGAGTTATCTGGTAAGTGTTCAGTGTGAAGTGTTAAGTCGAGTGAGTTGAGCTAGTGTCTGGGTCTCTGTGTGTGTATCTATGTCTGTGTGTGTATGAGTCTCTGTCTGTGTGTGTGTGTAAGTTGAGGCAGTGCGTGGGCCTCTGTGTGTGATGTGTGTGTATGAGTCCCTGTCTGTGTGTGTGTCTATGTCTGCTGCTGGTGCAGGTCTTCACTGTAGATTTAGTGAACGAAGTAGCGCGCAGGCCTCCCAAACCCCCCACCAGCGGCCAAGCGGTGACAGCTCAGCTCATCGACGTGAGCATTTGAGCTGCTGGTAAGGGCAATGGTGAATTTCTTCATTGTAGATATAGTGAAAGAAGTAGCTCGCAGGCCTCCCAAACCCCCCACCGGCGGCCAAGCGGTGACAGCTCAGCTCATCTTCGAGAGCATTTGAGCCGCTGGTAAAGGGAAATAGTCAAGCGCAAAGCTCTTCTGTCTGAGAGCACTCTCGCATGCGTTTCGCGCACTCGACACGCACGATCTCCGCAGAGGGTTGCGCCGGGAAGGGGCAATCGCACTCTCGCCTGCATTTCGCGCCCTCGACACGGGCGATCTCCGCAGAGGGTTGCGCGCACACCGGACATACCGTACTCTCGCCTGCGTTTCGCGCACTCGACACGCACGATCTCCGCAGAGGGTTGCGCGCGGACCGTACCAATCGCACTCTCGCCTGCATTTCGCGTACTCAACACGCACGATCTCCGCAGAGGGTTGCACCGGGAAGGAACAAATCGCACTTTCGCCTGCATTTCGCGCGCTCGACACGCGCGATCTCCGCAGACGGTTGCGCGCACGCCTGCATTTCGCGCACTCGACACGCACGATCTCCGCAGAAGGTTGCCCGCGTCCAGGAAAAATCGCACCCTCGCCGACTCTCGCCTGCATTCCGCGTGATCTCCGCAGAGGGTTGCGCGCACATGGGACAAATCGCACTCTCGCCTGCATTTCGCGCACTCGACACGCACGATCTCCGCAGAGGGTTGCCCGCGTCCAGGACAAATCGCATTCTCGCCTGCATTTCACGCACTCGACACGCACGATCTCCGCAGAGGGTTGCCCGCGTCCAGGACAAATCGCACTCTCGCCTGCGTGTGACGCACTCGACACGCGCGATCTCCGCAGAGGGTTGCGCGCACATGGGACAAATCGCACTCTCGCCTGCACTGCATTGCGCGCACTCGACACGCGTGATCTCCGCAGAGGGTTGCCCGCGTCCAGGACAAATCGCTTTCTCGCCTGCATTTAGCGCACTCGACACGCACGATCTCCGCAGAGGGTCCTGGACCGCCAGGAGTGCTATAGGTTGAGGCTTTCATAACATGACAACACGGAGGCTTACAAGTTAAGCCTTTAGGCCGTGGGCGAGATATGGCCAGCATGTGGGTTGCACGCATCAATGTACGCAGAAGTTTGACAGACTATCCTGACAAACGCTGCCTACCGGCACATGTAAGTAGACACGTCATCACTGATGTGGTGCATTTCCAGCCGGCGAGCTCTTTCAGCTTCTGGCAAATATGGTCTGCACTTTGACCACAACATGGGCTTGAGGTTCTTGAGCCTAACCTATGTTAATATTATATATATATGTTTATATAATTATATGTCTAAAAAGTTCTCAAAGCTGGCTAATATCTGTTGCCAGCTTTGTTGTATTTTGTGGGGGTTGTGTCGCGTGTGCCGTTCTCGATTCGACTTGCCGCCCACCCGCCATCGATTGAGCATGTTCAGCAACCATGGCTCAACCACATCAAAAAACAAGCATACTCACAAAACAATTTGGTGAGCCATGACAGCATCACACTCTACAAAGCAAGCGTGCAATGCTCTTTCTCTTTTGAGGGTGGGCCGCGCGGCCCGCTCCATCCAAGCTTGCGCTCGGGGCTGAGTGTCTACAGGAACAGCTCCACCCATGCCCTGTAGCGACCCAGCGTCACTGCAGCCATTGTTTGTGTATGGGTCTGTGACGCTATCTTGCCAATGTGCTGCGTGAGATCTTCGTCTTGGTAGTTGTGTTCAAACCTAGAGGGTTGAAGTTGTTTGAAGGAGAACACACAACACCTTTGCCAGTATCTTAAAAACACTTTAAGAACAATTTGGGCGAGTTCTTTCAATCTCCAAACCTTGGATTGCGTCTTGTTTTTTGACGTACAATAACATCTCGAGCAACGAGTGGAACTTCGGGGTGATCTTCAGAAAACGACGCCCGTCCGTTCGAGCACGATCTTGTCCTGCCAGTTCCTGGTAGAACAATAATGCTGCATGCCCATAGCGAGTTACAAGAGTCACCTCCTGATCTCCAAAAAAAGGTCCCCCTTCATCTATAAAATATTGGAACTTGGCGAAGGAGTGCATGCAAAGCCAGCGTAGTCTTGAGTTGGGAACATTGCCTTCCTGGTCCTGGTCTTTCATGTAGTCACTAGCCCAGAACATCATGGTTTTAACTACTGCCGCCTTGTAGTGGCTTGACAACTCCGGAAAGTCAGCCCAACCCAGCTTGGAAAACCTCTTCCCATTGAATCTGAACGATGTAGCTGTATACTTTCTTGCATGTGTGCGACACCAACTTTTGTAGTGTAAGTAGACCTCTATCCGGAGCAATGTATCCAACTCAGACAAAGTCAAAATAGGATGCTTGCTCTCAAGGCCGCTGCAAATCAGTGCAGGGATCACAACACAGGCGACACCCTGATGAAGTACATGGAGCAAGTCCTGAGGTCACACAGGCGCAGGCAAAGTTCATGAACAAATATGGCCAAACCAAAACATAACCCCACTACAAAGAAAAGTCCTGAGGTCACACAGGTGCCAAAACATAACCCCCACTCCACAGAAAACTTGTTGACCGGAGGAGGCTCTTCTAAATTACGGTCCTTGGTCCAACCCCTGACACAAATCCATGGGCTGGGCGGAGACATCATCAAGTATTGTTCGTGTGTGAACCGTAGTGACAAGCAGTTGGCGTTGCTGCGGAAATCACCAAATGTGTTGCGCTCTTCGTACGACGCGCAGCAGTGCTCACAGATGTACTTGGTAGCGTAAAATCTGTTGAGGCGGTGGACCTGTTGCCTCGCCTCCCAATCTCCTTTGAAAGCAGCAAAGGTCATAGTCCAATTGAACTCAAAGGGTTTCCCAGCACGAGAAGCACTGGAAGACCCGATGGGCCACCTGCACCCCTGCGAGTCCAATTCTGGATATTTACCACTTCTCAAAGTTTCAACCATGTACGATATCAGCGCAGCAATGGAGGCGTGAGTCTTGTGTTTGACGATTTCTGACTCCCTTACAACAATAAATACCCACTTGGTTCTCATGGAAGGCCCCTTCCTGCACGCGGAAGACATGCTGTAAATAAACATCTTTTGATGGCGGTATACCCTCACCCCGTCGCAATGTATGTAAAGTGGCACACACTTCCCAAACTCTTCACGTCCCAGCTCGAGCTTTTCGAAAAACTCTAACTTAGATGCGTGTTCCCAATACTCTGTCGTTCGTGAAGATGCTGTGGCAGGGTCGTCGGCTATCCACTGAAGCAGTTTCCCAGCTTGGTGCAAATGAGAAAAAAACTCCCAAGGCCAGAGTATTGTTGTTGACTGTAGGATCTCCTCCTCTTCCCCATCCGCACGAGTTATCATCAGTGGAATCTCCACTGTGTCTGGGGCGACAGAACAAACTTTTTTGCACCACCTTGAGGGCCAAATACCGGCCAAGCGTTCCAAAATCACAAATTACAATCTACATAAACCACAAAATATGTTTGTTTTCAGGTCGCCGCCATGCCTCGCAAAAGACCGTCCCTCGTGACCCTTCGACCACTGGGACATCTCCATTGCCAATGGGCAGTAGAATCCATCCTTGATTAAATTGGCAGCATCATCACGAGCAGCAGCAGCTGATAGAGCCTGAAGCAAAGGTTTATTTTTGGGGCCCAAGACTTTTGAGAGACACTGTCACAAGTGAGCTAAATGCATGAACTCATTTCACACGTTGCGAGACTTTTGTACCTTAGGCCGGAACCCCGCAGCACACTTTCTTCAAAATGCGTCTTCCTGATTCCGAAGCTGCATCCCAATCACCTGGGACCGAGCAGGGGAAACTTCTATACCCTCATGTTGGGACTACCCGCATGTTCTCTGCGCTACCGAGGCGCCCCTGGCATTCGATGACTGTTTTGGAGGACTTCTGGAGTGATCTCGTTTCCTGCGAGGGTGGTCATGGACTGGGTTTCAGGCCACTTGGCCTTTCATGTGGGAACCTCAAACAGGTAGGCGTGATTTTCTCAAACCTTTCTTGAACATCCCAAGCTCTTGATGGATTGAAGTTGCTTTGCAACTAGAATGGAACAGCGGACCAGGAATCAATGCACGCAGACAGGTGCACTAGGTTATGGTTTCGTTTGGAACTCTAGGACTAGGCTTTGTGGCCCACTGTTCTCCCTACGCGGTCGTGTAGCCTGAACTGGCCGCTTTTGGTGCCCTACTTCAAGCTTTTGGTGACCGACATGAACACATGAAAAAATGCCCATCTAAGATTTCCCATCAGTGATGGCCAAGGGCTCTGAAGAACCCTTCGCAACGCTTTCGGGAAAAAGGTGCAGGAAAGCCAGGAATGCAAGAAAAGAAAAAAGGTCCCAGGGTGAAGAAATCCAAGCAAGAAGGGCCAAGGGGGAGCAAGATGGATTTCCATCCGGCCCCCCAGCCAAGGAAATGACACCAGGCTCCCAAAGGTGGAGGAGTGTCAAGGAACTCCAGCAAAAACTGAGGGAGCAGGAGCTGGTCAGTTCGGCTGGAATGTTGCACCAGCAGGCCATGCTCAGGGAACAGCAGCTG